GATTGTGGGACACAATTTTTTTGAAAGGTGTAAATCTTTTTGGAACGGATGGAGTATATATTTAAAGATTACATCAAATAATCTACGAAATTAAAGGTGAAGTGTATATTATTTTATCTAGTTAGTAACAAAAGTAGAGTAATAATGCTAATAAAATTTGTCGTGATGGATTGTGAATGAAAAGCTAGTTTTAGAGAAAAAATTACTCTAGAGTGACACTATTTCTATTGAAATACCTCGCATGTCTCTCTTATAAGAGACATCAGATGTCCTTACATTTTGTTATAAAGACTATTGGGAGAAGAATTTTTTTTATACTGTTATTGATTGCTAAAAATTTATTTTTCTCATTTCTCCCTTAATGATGTTTCATTACCATTAGTTTACCTTGTACTTTTTGTGTTGAGCTCAGATTTCTTAGAAACAATATTTTCAATTAAAAAAAGGTATACGCATACATTCTTGGTTGTTATCTTACTATCTTTTAAAAAAACAGCACGTACATGTTTCAATATTTTATTACTATCCTTGTCCCATTTTAAATTACTTGTTTGCCTTTTTTCTCCGTTCCAAAATATGTTGCATGTTAGTTGTTTTCGGAAACTTTTAAAATAAAATACCTAAATTACCTCTAAAATTAGTCACTTTTCTCCACATTATTCTCATTCATCGTCATCCCTTCCTTCTAAAAAGTACTGACAATTTCGGAAAATTAACTCTACTTTTTATTTTCCTTAAAAATGTCTAAAAGTCAAAGACATTTTTTTGCAAAAAAAAAAATGCACACAGAAATTACATTTTTCTATAAATTTTTTATCATTGATTACCTTTTTGTATTCATTGCCTTTTGGGTTAACTCGAACAAGATGACATGAAAGATGCCAGGGGATTACCCTTCCTAAAACAGACCAAAAACAATTCACATTGCAACCAAACAGGCCCCCTTAATGATAAACAATACTTCCTCCGTCCCCCTATATTTGTCCACTTTCATTTTTACACACCATCCAATGTACTTCTTTAATCCATTTTATCTTATAATTTGTATATTAAAAAATTATAAAAATTATATATTAATAATCTATATGTTAAGACAAATCAAACAAGATCACACATGACTATATTTAAACTTACACATTGAGAAAATTTGATAAGTCAAAGTGCTTAGATGAACAGTTCCAAAAGTCAAATGTGGACAAATACAGGGGGACTGAGGGAGTACTTGACAGGCTACAACCCAAACGAAAAACCACTTCGCTTAGACTCTTTTCAAACTATTTATGTGCAGGAAAACAAAACGTCATAAAGTAATGCTACGTTAACCACATTGTTGTCTCCGAAACAACAATAAGGTTAACCTTGGTGTTACGATAGCATAACCCCGAGTCAAATATGTGGGACACTGGGACCCATGGATTCCAAAGACTAAGCTAAGGACAGCACCAAATTGGCTCAATTAATCAACACAGCAAAAAGCTCATGCAATGGTCAAATGAAAATAACAAGGGAGTAAATATTGTCAATCTCATTTCGCATTTTTTTCAAAATCAAGGAATCTGTGTCTCTGGCACAGATCAAAGGTCTGGTGGAAGGAACACAAGGAAGAAAGTCAAGAAACAGAACTAAAACAAAACCAGGTTCGAAATTAAACCGCGCTTTAGAAGACGAGCAGGTGAGGCTTCATGCCATCCTTGAGAGAGAACCGTGCGGCCAAATAAGTCTTCAAATCTGGCACTGCTTCAATGGCTTTGATCAATGCACTGTCCACCTCCTTCTGGTCATCTTTCTTCTCCTGCGGAAGCCCTTTCTTCTCCTGCATATTCACAACCATAGTCATTCTCAACACTTAAGATCACAATTGATCAACAACATAATACAACAAAGCCAGTAAAACCCAGAAAAGTAAGGACTAAAGGGTTGTGTATTTGTCCCTACTCTGAAGTAGAGAGGCCGTTTCAAAGAGAAACCCTGCTCACTTTACAAAAATCAACAAGATGCGACCTTTAGACTCTTACAGACATTCTATTTCATGTACGTTAACAAGAGAATTCAATCATTTCTGACTGAAAATGCACATTTTGAATTATAAAAATTGCTTATAGCCGTGCTTGAGAAACAAACTTAGTAGAAAATGATGACTTTTGAGTAAGTGAATGAACACTGGATGGGTTGCAGTTAAAACCTAACAGGACAAGTAGTGTCCGGGGAAGATGATGCATGTATGCATTCTTACTTTAGAAGTATAGTGGTTGTTTGATCTACTACCATTTTGCAAAACTTCTCATGCTAGGTGGTCCCTATGTCCCTAAATCATCTTTCCCAACTCCGGCCCTAAGATTACGTGGTTTGAATAATTTGAGAGGGAAAAGAAGAGAAAATGAGATGAAAAATGATTTTTCAAATTTGGTTCGAGAGAAAAAAGAAGAGTGAATTCCTTCTATTTTGGTGGGAAAAAGGAGAGAAATTATTTCCTTGAACCAAACATATGGCAGATGATCAAGTAAATACTCCGTAGTTGATAAAACTAACAAAAAAAAGAAATGTAATTAAGAGTTTTTTAACAATGTGAATAAGACAGCTAAATCATTACCCTTTTTCAAAATAATTGTAAAGAGCATTACGATGCACGCTTGAAATGCTCATTTCTGCATTTCGTAAAATGGTTGTAACACAATATGTAAAGTATCATTTAAAATCAATGCTGGATTGAGGACTTAAAATGTATGAAAATCAGGCAAAAGTACAAAATCTGGTGGAAAATATTGTCATTTGCCAGGTCCATTTTAAGTCCAATCTATTGAATAATTCTCTGTGTTCTTAAATAAAACATCTACTATGACTTCCTATATACAGTTAGAATAAAATGAATGCAGACATAATATGTGTACACATTCATTAAACTATTAATTGACATAAACATCATAATAGACCCTAATAGCATACCTGCATAACAAGTAAACATATTACAACGTATTACAGGCTAAATTTGTTTAACCTTCAAAAGTATTTGCAGTAAAATGCCTCAAATGGAAGAAAGTAAAGCTGTTCTAACCTCTTTCTCAGACTCAAAGAACTCTTCTTCGGTCTTCTTCTTCTTCTTCTCGGCCTTCTTAGCAAAGTATTTGTCATCAATCTTGTCCACATTGACCCCAGAAATGTCCACCTTTGTAGAGGTCCCAATCACATACGCCTGATTCACGCGCCGAATGGGAACGCCGTTGATCTTCAACGGACCGGTGATAAGGAGCAGCCCGGAAGAGAGCTGCTTCAGGAACACGACTCTCTTCCCCTTGAATCTCCCGGCGAGGATGATCAGAACAGTCCCCGGAGTGATACTCGACCTGAGCTTCGTGGGCTTCGGCTTGCGTCGGTTCGGGAACGGCTTCTTCACATCGTCGGCGGGGTAGAACTTCGGCGGCTTCTCAGGCGCCGCTTCCACGACGGGCTTCTTCTCGTGGCGTGGGAAGACGCCGCCGTTCTTGGCCTTGATAGCCCAGAGGCCCCTCTTGTGGTACATTTTGGAGCGTGAGAATTTCTCGATTCCCCTGATGAGCTCCGGATTCCGCGGGGTTTTCTTAGGGGCCATTGTTGCCGATCTGCAGAAAGCTTCTTCCGGTGCTGAAAAATGAAGATGGCGATGGAGATGGAGGCGATGGCTTATGAGCTGCCTGTGACTATAACAAGCTGTTAGGGTTTCTTCCTTCGTTCGAGTTGAGAGAGTAAATGGGCCGAGTTGTTGATTTGTAAATTGGGCTTTATTTTTTGGACAATGGCACTGGTCTATTATTCTTAACAAGGTATATTATTAGCCCAAATCCTTTGTAGTCCAACATTTGTTATCGTCAAATTAAAAATTTTAAAAAATATAAAATTGTAAAAAAAAGGGGGTGAAAGAAGAGAAAAGAAGAGGGAGTGGGAGGGAGAAGAAAGATAAAAAAGAAATAGTCAAATCTAATATTTTAAAACATATAAAATTGTAATTTTGTCCAAATGATCTTAGGGTTACCATAAACGGGCTACAGGTACCATTTCTGAAAATTTTTCAAAGTTCAAGTATTTTTTGTGAAAAAAAAAAGTTTAGGTACCGAAACGAAAAATAGCATAAAGCTCAGGTACCATACGTGAAATTTATCCTCAATTCAGATTTAATCTGAAAATAACATAAAATTACCATGAGTCAGTTATGTGATAAGAACTACGAGATATCGTAATTTAAAAAAAATATAATGCCGGTATCATTTATTATTTTAAAAACCTACCAATAGGGCCTTCCGTCTACTCTGTTAGTTTGTTTTTCTTCACCACCATTATCATCATCATCTTCTTCTTCTTGCTCGAGGAGTAGGAGAAGTTATTGAAGGACAAAGATAAAGAAGATGAGCATAAGGGGCCGAAATTGAGGGATGACGATCTTCTTCTGGCTTAAGTCTTCCAATGCCTTCACTTTGAGATTGAAGATACTTGAGATAGTTTGCTGCTTTGTAAAACATTGAAGCCGTGTGCATTTTACTCCCAGCGGGTATCAACCGTTGCAGAGTCATAATCCGCTCGCTTATCTCCTTGACGGTGTTTCTGTGCAGCGTTTGTAGACGTAACTTTGAAGATGAATTGCCTTCATGACTATGTTAGATATTTCATACTTCGTACATTTTACCATTAATAACATGTACAATCATCATTTTAGTTTTCATGCCTAATTACATGACATAGTGATGTGTCAAAAAATTACCACATGGATATTCCACATGTCAATTTTTAACGAGTCTCAAATATTATAATAAAGTACTCCCTCCGTCCCCTAGTTTTTGTTCACTTTCATTTTTGCACACCATCCAATGCACTGCTTTAATCCATTTTATCTTGTAATTTGTATATTAAAAAATTATAGAAATTATATATTAATAATCTATATGTTAAGACAAATCAAACAAGATCATACATGGCTATATTTAGGTTTACACATTGAGAGAATTTAATGAGTCAAAGTGCTTAGATGAACAGTATCAAAAGTCAAAAGTCGACTAAAACTAGGGGACGGAGGGAGTATATAAGATAGAATAATGAAATTAGAAAATTGTTTTGTCAATTTATGGTCAAACACAAATTTTCAAATTTACCTTTTATTTATTGGAGGGAATTATTTTACATGACCCGTTTAACTCTTTTTTTTAATTATTTACGCGAGTAGAAACTAGGCGAGCAGAAACGATAAATCCAAAGGAGCAGGAGGCATTCACCTGCCGCTGTTAATGGAGGGAGTGGGCGCCAGATTCGGCCGGATTTCTTCCCGGTACGGACCGACGACTGTTTTCACCGGTCGGGTCCGCAAATGGAGGAAGAAGTGGGTCCGCGTGATGCCGCCTAGCTCCGGCAACAACAACAGCAACAACGCCAACCATCGATCGGCTCCTACCAGCGAAGTCAATGAAATCAACGGCTCCCGTCTCTCGCTTCTCAAGTGGACGCCGATCACTCCGAGCCAAAACAACGCCAGCGCCAACGGCGGCGCCGGCGACGAGAACGGCACTTCCGATGGCTCTGCCAAACCTGACGTAGTTAATGAGGAGCCGCCAAAGAGGAGATTTAAGTATATTCCGGTAATTCCATGAGATCTTAATTTGAGCACGCGAAAATTGCTTGCTATTGCCTATTACGTGGTATCCATCATACATTGTTGAAAATTTGTCTAGGTTTTGGGCAAAATTTTGTTCTGAGTTGGGGATAACCTTGATAGTAGGATCTAATGTGGTTCAGTTTAGGTGGGATTTAGGTTGTGGTTAGCTTATGGAGTACCAAGATGTCATGGGATGAATGTCAGATATCTCTCGAGTGAAAATCACTTAGAATTTGGGAGTTCTAGTTGCAGACTTTGAAGGTTGGGTTAGGTCAAATTGTGAGCTGATTTCTTTGTATTTATCAAGTACTTCCCATTGTCCTAGAAAACCTTCTTAAGGTTGACTGGATATGTAAAATAAGAAAATAATCACTTTTTTGGTGTATACTCTAATAACAACATACTCCTAGAGCTCCAAACTTTTATATATATCATGCCTTGATTCATTTGCAGACACCCTATTTGTTGTCTTAGTCATAGTTACCTCACCCCAGCTCTTCTTTTTCCTACTTCTACGCATACTCATCCCCACTGCTAACCTCTCACACCTCCTAACTGTGGCATTACCAACCTTCATTTGCACATGTGGAAAATCAGCTCTACCTCGACTCACAGATACTATCCTCTACTCATACAACTTTCACCTTGTCCATCAACTTCTGTACATGCATCTTAGTTACCAACTTACCATCAACTTATGTACATGATCATCCTTATTTTGCAATAAAAACAGCATGAACCGCAAAGAAAGATGGCAAAGTTTTGAGGGATGAACGGAGTATTTAGTTACATAGTTGAGTTCTGAATTTAAACAAAAGCTCCTGTCAAGCAAGAATTAAAGAGGAAAAATTAGAGACAAATCTAGAGAGATTGGTTATTTGATTATTCACTCGTTTAAAAATGGAAAATTAGAATCAATGGTGTGATTGAATATTCCAGCTTCTAAAAATGGCCAATTTTTATTGATACCGCCCCAATTTCATTGCACACTTATTACTGAGTGGTTTGCAGGCTAGAGTGTTTCATAATATGGTTATGATATGCAATGCAAATTTTGAGACAATTTTGTTTTACCTTCCAATCTGTCCAGCAAAGATGTGATTTGATCTTATTTCTCAAATCGTAATTTGTCTGTTCCTAATAGACCAGTTCAAAGATTTGTTTTCTACCGCATATTGCTCGGCAATGATACTGGCTATAATCAATGTTTTAAAACATATGTTATGATCCTTAGGTTCCACACTCCTACTGTCTTTTTATTTGAATGCCAATAACCAAATGTTATTTTCAAATGAATTTTATTATTAGTTTGCCTATTCAATTCCATAAAAGAACTATATTTGTTTGTATATAGTTTCTTCTTGTGCGCCTCTTTTTTTCTTTATACAGAATATGCTATGGACTTAGGATTGAAGGTCATTCACTCGTGTTGTGCTTTAGTCTTGTGGTGGGTACTTCTTAAAAATGAGCACAACCAGCTAAAAATAATTTTGTAAAAGCATTCTAAGATCTTATAAACTTGTTTGATTACTCTGTTGAAGCATTGTAATTTGTAAATAAAGAAATTGCTACACTTTTGCTTAGTTGTAATGTGTTTTTTTTGTTCCCTTATCTGTTTTGATGAATGGCTGGCAAAGATTGCTCTGCTCGAAGAACAAAAGAATGAGTCCATAGAAATTGCTGAGGACGAAACCAACGTGATTGAAAGTGGAACAGATGCAAATAAAACCACTCGAGCTGATGGTTTGGAAGAAAACCCAGATATCAATGATGTGCCAATGCAGGAAAGCCAGGTAACTAAGCGTGTTCTATCAGTTCCATCCTTGCCATAGAAACTCATTTATGGTTCAAGCTATCATTTCCAACCCTCCACATACATACACACTCATTTATGGTTCAAGCTATCAGTTTGAAGATTTAATTTCAGAAATGAAAAAGCAAAATGCAAAGGATAAAAGAGTGGGTTTTAGTTTGAGCTAAACAATGTGTTCTTTTTCATATCTGTGTTATGTTATTCTGCACTAGGGTCCAATATGTTTTTCTTCTCTATCATTTTCACCCTTTAACGGTACCGAAAAATTGTACTAGTTTCAAATTCTTTGTAAAATCTCTGCGAGTCTATGTTTATCGATTTAGGGTGTCGACAAAATCCAATTGTCCACCTTTCATAAAAAAAAATCCAACGGTAATTTCATCAAGTTCTTCCATCAAAAAATTGCTTTGTGGATTTCAACCAATGCATTTGCATAATATGGATGATTAGTGTCTGTGATTCTTTACCATTGGATCACTGTACTAATCTTGAAATCCATTGTATTCTCCACAACCTTGTAAAGTTTTATGTTTATTTCTCTATGCATTCCACATTTCCACTGCTAAAGATCATTATATGCATTTGTCTTTCACTTTTACAAATCAAAAGATGTAACCATTATAAGCAGTAAATCCATCCTAAAAAAAATCTGTAATAGATGTGTTAGATTCTTTAGTGAGTTTTAATGGATCATAAATGAATTGTTTACAGGAAGCCACAGAACAACAAGATCTGAACGAAAGCGCATTTGGATTGAGTTTGGATTTGAATACACAGGACGGTGAAGATGATCCCGACTCAAAAACAAACCAGCCCAAAGGTTTGTGATGATCTTTCCCCCAATCTTTACTCATTGTTGTTAGTCTAAATGTTGATCCTCTTTGGCATGGTACTATATCCCCTCCCCCCCCCCCCGAGCGTATCAAGGGAAATTTTAAGTTGTATAGTGTACTGAGAGGTAGAAACACAAATTCTTTACCCCGATTAATTGAGACTAATTTTCTGAAATGTAATGGGACAACTTTCTATCATAGATGATTTAATCTTTTTCATACTGGTGTTGGTCTAATGTACCCAGTTGACGCCCTTATGATAGATTGAAATGGTGATCTCGTTGAATTCATTTGCAGATTCAAATCTTCATGCTTGAAAATATAAATTTCTTGAACTCACAATTTCCCAATTTATGGAATTGAAGTGCTTTTGTAGCACAGACCAAAATGAAATAGAATACCATTTTTGGGAGACATGAGGTAAAGTTCCAGCATGTCTTTCCATTATCGACTAAGAATATGTTTGGTCTAAGGAATTAGATTCTATTGTTTGGATATTCGAAATTAGGGTAACTTAAGTTGAGACCTGTTTGGTTAAAAGGCTTCATAGAGAATGGCTCAAAATGGCAAATCTACTGGCAATAGATTTTCTGGTAATTCTCTTGTACCATGTGGGGTCTTAAGTTGAAAACTGTTTTGGCATCACATGTTTATGTATCTCTGTGAAAAAGAGCAAAAAATTGCTGGTGGGTACCCTCTATTTCTTGATAAGAACTGCTAGGTCCCATTATTTTTCTAAATATACTCTGGGGTACCTTAAATTATCTAAAAAATTACTGAGGGGTGACAATCCGTCCATGTCTCCGTTAGTTTCTCTCACTGTTACCTTTTTCTTCTTCTTTCCTGTTTTTTCTTTCTTTCTCCCTCTCTTTCTTTTTTTCTCTCTTTCCAATTCCGATTAGCCCCCCCCCACCCAAATCCCTCCCCCCTTTTTTTCTTCCTCTATTATTTCTTTTCTTCTTCTTCTATTATTATTATTATTATTATTATTATTATTATTATTACTATTAATTTTTAGTTGGAAAAAAAGCACTTTTTATAAAAAACACTTATTATTAATACTATTATTTATTAAAAACAATTAAATAGTAATTTTACTACTTCACTCTTTTATAAAAATAACATTACTTATTAGTATTACTTTGTATTAATTATTATTTATTTCTAATTGTTTTATTTTTCTTCTATTTTTTAATCTATTATTATTATTAAAAGTTAATTACTACCTCCGTCCCAGAGTAATAATAATAATAGATTAAAAAATAGAAGAAAAATAAAACAATAAGAAATAAATAATAATTAATACAAAGTAATACTAATAAGTAATGTTATTTTTATAAAAGAGTGAAGTAGTAAAATTACTAATTAATTGTTTTTAATAAATAATAGTATTAATAATAAGTGTTTTTTTTATAAAAAGTGCTATTTTTCCAACTAAAAATTAATAGTAGTAATAATAATAATAATAATAATAATAATAATAATAATAGTAATAATAATAATAGAAGAAGAAGAAGAAAAAAATAATAGAGGAAGAAAAAAAGGGGGGAGGGATTTGGGTGGGGGGGGGGGGCTAATCGGAATTGGAAAGAGAGAAAAAAAAAGAAAGAGAGGGAGAAAGAAAGAAAAAACAGGAAAGAAGAAGAAAAAGGTAACGGTGAGAGAAACTAACGGAGACATGGACGGATTGTCACCCCCCAGTAATTTTTTAGATAATTTAAGGTACCCCGGAGTATATTTAGAAAAATAATGGGGCCTAGCAGTTCTTATCAAGAAATAGAGGGTACCCGCCAGCAATTTTTTGTGAAAAAGAGTGATCTCAAAACTGGTCAATCTATTTTTATGTGGATCTTAGGTCCACCTAAGAATGAAAAAAAAAGGTTGCATACTTGCATTGAATAGATCAACTTATACGAGTGTGTGTAAATCATGTAATTGTAGAAAGGGGAAAGACAAAAATAGGAATAAAACATAAAGAAAGAATCAAAATATAATTTTAATGTTTTTATCTTCAAGATAAGAACTATTATGACAGTATATAATATCAAAAAATATTGTAGAATGTTAATATATTGTGACACATTATCATAATGTACTAGTTTTATTTTGGGAATTAAAAAATGACTCATATTTTGGGATAAAGGTTATATTTTGTTCTCATTTTGGGTAATTTCTTTAGTTACTAATGTTCTATAGACCAAAAATTGTATCGCACATAATTTTCATTTGGATTGTTTTAAAACGAACCGGAGAGTGGGAATGAAATTTACTCGTGTAATGCGGAGCATATAGATTGAGGATTTTTCTTGGTCAAAATTATGCAAATTTTGACGGATTTTTCTTGCTAATATAATATCATTGGTTCCAGTTTAATAGAGTTGCTCATGTTTTAGCTCATTTTAATTATCTGATTGGGGCGAATTGGGGCTAAAGAAAGATTTCACGAACATTTTTTGTTTGCCTCCCAAAAGTTGTCTAGGTAGACAATCGTCTTTTGATGTCAAATTGAAGTGCACCAAGGTTGGTCCAATTTCTTTCCCCATGTATTAGAATTGGCCGAGGCTTCGGTAGGCATCACTAAATACGGAATAAGATCTATTTTTATTATAAAAAAACACTAAACTTTCCATTTTAAGAGATCAACAAACAACAATAATCTAGCAGCAGGGTCTGAGAAGGTACATCTCAATAATGAAGTCTTAGTATAACAAAAAAAAAAAAAGGAAGATTACATCTCAATCTTGAGGGCTGCCATCCCCCAATGCCAAAGGGTTAGCTTGAGGGTATGATGCAATTCAAGAGACTCAAAAGGTGAATTCCTTAACCGCGGATCAAGATGTTGTGAAGTAGTAAAACAAGATTTGATCTCAATTTATTATCGAAATCTTCACATCCAAACTCGAGAGGTTGTGAAGTAGGATATAATGACTTGTTCTCACTTAATTCCGGAAAAAGGCGGCTTAGCATACAGTGCACAAAAGACGACACAACATTTGATGTAACACATACACTAATATTGCTATCTCAAATCATAGACTCAACAACTATCTGAAAACCAGTTGAGCTACTCATGCAGATGGTGATAATATGTGATGCAATGTAATGAATTCATTAAGCTTGGAGTTGCAATGCACCTCATATATCACTTCCTTCCTTCTCCAAATAAAAAGTTAAAGAGACAATTATGAGGTAAGATGAAATATTTTTTAATTTATTTTATTTAAAAATTTGTATAAAATTTTAAAATAAAAATTACAATTTTAGCGTCAAAATATAAAAGATTTTCCTAGAGGTTGGATTGCAAATTAAAGTATTTTATACACATTTTTTATATATATTATTAAAATATTATATAGACATATCTTATCGATGTTGAACGGCACCTGATGAATAAATATTTAAAACGATTGAACTGATTATACAATTAAATAAATTAATCAACAAATCTCCTGGTTAATTTACTCTTCTAGTTTCTTAAACACTATTCTCACAACTAAAGTTACAAAAAGAAAAGTACGATGATTGACAAAATTAATTTTTAATTCAATTTATTTAATACATGATATAATTGTATAAAATTTTAAAATAAAATTTATATATTTGAAAATTAAATTAAATTGTCCATAAAACAAATAATGACAATGTTATGTGACTATGCTCTTTTCATAAGTAATATGCTACTTGGTCCGTCTCTGAGTGTTTGTCAACTTTTGACTTTTGAAACTGTTCATCTAAGCACTTTGATTCATCAAATTCTCTCAATGTGTAAGCCTAAAAATAGTCATGTGTGATCTTATTTGATTCGTCTTAACATATAGATTATTGATATATAATTTTTATAATTTTTTAATATATAAATTACAAAATAAAATGGATTAAAATAGTGCATTGGATGGTGTGCAAAAATGAAAGTGGTCAAACACTCAGGAACGGAGGGAGTATTTTAATAAGTAATTAATGAAAACAAATAAAGAAAAAAGGGAAAAAAACTAAACTGTGAATAGTGTTTTTAATTAATTTTGGTAATTTTGGATTTTGGAAGGGAGGAAGTAGTTTCTTAAATACTCACTAGGTAAACTTTTGGGGTGGGACCTTTGAATATTGTGTTCCATCCTTTTCATATCATCAACCCCTAAGTATGTCTTCCCAATTCACATTCTTATCCCAAACTCTTCTCAAACCCTAAAAATCCCTTCTTTTTTAGTTTCTTGATATCCCCACCAGTCACCATCTCCATCTTCTTCTTCCCCTTCTTCCCATAGCCATGAAAAAGCCCCACAGGAAACCAGCTGTTCATCCCACTCCGCCATTGTCAGACAAGCTAGCTTTCTTGCCAGCTGCAATCTTGGCCATCTCAGCCTCCCTCTCCAAAGATGAACAGGAAGCCCTTGCTTACCTCCTCTCCTGCCCTTCCGGGAACTTCAACAAGAAATCCCCCGCGGCCGCTAGCGGCGGCGCCGCCGACCACCCGCCCTTCTTCGGCTGCTACTGCTTCAACTGCTACATGAGCTATTGGGCGCGGTGGGATTCTTCCCCCAACCGCCACCTCATCCATCAGGCCATTGATGCTTACGAAGATGGGTTGCAGAGAAAGAAGGAGAAAAACAGGGGAGGGAAGAAGAAGGGCGGAATTAAAGATTCTTCTGGTTCTTTGAGTAACAATGAGTCAGGGGAGGATCCCGGCGCGGCGAATCCCGCGGAAGAGAGTGCCGGAGGCGGCGGCGGTGATGGGTGCGGCGAGGAGAGGGGGGCGGTGAGGAGTTTCGTGAGTTTTCTTGGAGAGAAGATCCGAAATGTTTGGAATTGAAGGAGAATTGTTTTGTTGTTTTCTTGGATTCGTGATTTTTGCTGTGAAACCGACGGCGGAGCTCCGGTGAGTTCAACGGCGGAGGCCCAACTTCCGGTGGAAAAAAATCTTCTTTGTTATTTTTCTGTTAACTCTCAGATTTCTTGAAATCTTCCTTCTTAATTGTTCATGCTCTGTGATGAATGAAGAAAGAGAATTGCTGGAGAAGTTTTCTTGAATTTATTTTAGACTATACTCAAATTGAGTAATTTCTCAAAGTTTTAGCTTCTTCTTCATTATTGGAAAGATTATATTTTTT